CCAGCTGCTGCACTACGATGCGGAGCAACTCCCTGTGGTTGTCTACAGTTTTGGTGGAAGCACGACGTACGAGTTTGACAAGAAAACAAAAACGGTGTCAGTATGCATGAGTAGTAAAATATCCAAGGACTTTTTGTACGATTTGTGGCAGTGTAAGATGAAATGGTTTATTATCTACGATGTGACGGAGAAAGGGATGCCAGCGAAATATTTTTTGCTCTGTATTGCATGAGGCATGGTTGTGTTGTCACCCCCAAACGTGGACAACTATGATAACTGGGAGAAGCAAGTAAGAGCCGCGCGAATCATCGTGAATTGCCCCGACGAGATGGATGTGAAGGCGATGTGTGCATGGATGAAGCGCAATGGGACTACAGATGGGCAAGCGGAATACTGGAAGATGGTCGAAGAACGCATGGATATAGTGGGGCCGATTCCGCAGCATATATTTCATGCGAACGACTTTAATGTATACACTGCTGTCATTGTGGATGCCTTGGATGGGATCAAGTCCCGGGATGGTGAAAAGCACTTTACACATTGGGGAGTGAGACTGTGGTATTCTGCGAATCCACCTCAAAAGCTCGTGAGGGCTGCCGGAGCACGAGGAGAAGTCGATGCTGAGGGATTTCTCAACGCACCGATATCTGTTTGCCTCGGGCGTCGAATACCATGCTATTTTGGGAGACGCAATGAGTGAGAAGGATATATATATATATATATATATTTATCTGTTGCTAGTATTGGGGAAGATGAATACTCTTTCTTCTGAATGTGTGGAAGGGTTTGGCTTGCGCACATTCATGTTTGGGGTGAGTTTGTCAGTGCATTATTAGAGGAACTCAAGGAGCTGAGGCCACCAGCACGCCGTGGAGGACAGTACGCAGTGCCAACGTTAAGCCCTCAAGGGCACCCCAACGATTCATATGGATTGGTTTCATTGAAGAATCCTTCTGAGAGGGAAAATTTGAAGTATCGGCTGCTGTGCACACCGGAGACGAAGATCCTTCCGCTGGTGGACGGCTTTTTTTTTATGGAGTCGCGACGGAAGACGTTGGTTGGGCCGCGGATGGCTACGGCGGGTGGGCACCACACCAGAGCCAGCACCGTGAGGCAGTTCACTGAGTGCCTGGCGGCGTATTTTAATGGTTGGGAGGAATTATCCCGAGACATGTCGTGGGATATTATTTATGTGCAGCACGCAGACAGCACGCCGATGAATGACTGGCAAAGATGTGATGTTGTAAATTCCGATAATGTGAGCGACGATGAAAAAGAGATTGCGGCGTTCTGGAAGGAAAAGGTGCACCAGTATCAAGTATCAATATCATCCGAAGACGTTAGAAGAGACAAAACCTTCCGAAGTGAGGAATAAACGAAGAAATGAAAAAAAGAATTGGGGAATGAACGGGCACAGTTTGATTTCTGGCAAAATAGGGATCAGGGGCTGTTTCACCTCTTTGAATACTTTTGTGCGCGCATGCGGTGCGGGTGCAGCAGCACCAGGCGACAGTATCGCACACAGCTGCCGAATATGTCCAATGCTATCGGACATATCAGTGACAGAAGAGGAAATTGGTAGGGAAAGGGGCGGTTTTATTTTTGTTAAAAAACATTAGGGGTTGTTTCATACATGTGAATGCTTGTGTGTGCATACGAGGCATAATCGGAGAATTGCTCTCTTGTGAGGGAATCGTCGTGGCCGGCGGCATCGCAGTATTGCTGCATTGTTCATTTCCTTCTATTATTTTTTTAAAGGACCCATCAGCAACAGAAGCATCTTTGAGGGATGGACGACGGACAACCTCTATTGAGGAAACAGTGCACTCCGTGTAACCGCATGGAGTGAAGCGCCGCATCCCATTGAGGGCGGGACGGCTTTTTCGTGCCGGTGCCATCATTGCTTTGCCCTGCGATTTCGTGCTTGACTGCCACATCGTGGCGCAGGGCCAATCCCCCGTATTGTCGGGGAGGCCAGGAGCCAGCAATGTTTCTCTCATGGGATGTTTGTTGTTTGCGCAGGGCTGGCGTCATCGACCGGCGCCCGAACCAGCTGCTTTGTGCTGGGGCACAGCCGTGGCACCAAGAGTTGTGAGGACACGTGGTATTGCAGTGCGGACCATCGGATTTATTTGGGAAAACACGAGAGAAGGCAGCAGAAGCACATCCGTGAGTGCTGCGGCAAATTGGCACGGATGCTCTCTTTTTACTTTGTGACGGGACGATGCGATGGTGCACCCTGCGTCTTTTGCTTGTGCCCTTATAGGCACGTTCTAAAATGGAGCGCATCGGTTTGCGAAGAAAGCTCCGTGTGTCAACGCGACAGGGAAACACGGTTGGCGATGGCAGGAGTCCCTCCCGGAACGGCACTAGAGTGCCGGGTTCCCAGAGTCGGCCGCTCGCCGAGGTGGGGACGGCTATAAGGGATTGCCCCAAGGCTGATTCTCAATGCCGTTTTGGTTGCTGACGGCGAATTGTTGATGGGAGAGCGAGATTGTGTGCGTGCCACCGTGTGATTCCTCACAATGGACGCTCGTTGGAGTGATGCATGTGTTGTTGCCTCACGGGTGTGGTGTTTTGGGTCCTTATTTCACGTTATTCGGTGCCGCAGCGGTGAGCGGTGACGTGATGCAACCCAATAGCCACACGGGCGGGACGGACACGGTTATGCGAGCCTGTGGAGGACCCGAGCAAGTCCAGGTGTACTATGCGGTTTGGGTCCACAAAGAAGGAAGAAACAGTGGGCGGCTGAGGGGAGTTGCAATGCACGCGGCTGCGGAAGATGACATGCATTCTTGAGTTCACGTTGACTGCCACTTTGGATGCTTTTTCTCGAGGCCGTGAATCCTTTCAAATTTACTTGGAGGTAATTGATGACACCAGACGTGGAAGGCATTTTCATTTCATACGAGGATGGCACACGGGAGACAAGGACGAAAGAGAGCGACGCCTCGCCAAAGGAGCGGCTGCTGGAACGTTGACGAGACTCGGGATTGTTTGCACGGCCAGCTGCCTGCCCTCTGCAGGATGTTCCTTGAGGCGTTCATTGGCCCGAGTGTGAGGTGCAGGCACGGGCGGGTACCGCAACAACAGTGTCGTTGGTTCTCCATCGCACGAATGAGAAGACACACATCAGGCGTGGCAGGTGACGTCCTCTGCGAACCTCCTCCCTTCTCTGTTTTACTTGGCATTCTCTGCATGTGGGCACCGCTCCCATTGGCCGCCTTATGTGACACGAGAGCCGCCTGTATTCTTCGCCATCGCATTAAAGTGTCGTGAGGAGGGCTTGAGGGTGCGTTGAGAAGCCGTGTGGTCTCTGCGAGCCTATCCTTTTTTTTCATAGGTGTTGAATTTTGGATTACCGAAACGCATCTTGAGTGCTTGCGTTAGAAGGTTGCATGACTGAGGGACAGGCGTGTTTGTGGAGGTGAAGGAGGGCCACGCCATTGGGAGGAGGAAGAGTGAATGGGTGGGTGGGTGGTGTCTGTGGCCCATATGTGGTGCTTGACTGGCGCTTCGCGTTGTTTGGCGTGATTACCATTTGCATTCACAAAGAATGGCTTTGGGTGCTGCTTCTCCTAACTATCTTTCTTTGTGTCTGTGCGTTGCGTGTTTGTGAGCATGACTCTTCTTCCGTGCTGTGCATTTGCCGCATAAGCTGTCGATGTTCCTTGTGGAATGTATGATGATTTACGGCATTTTGTTGGATTGTGCTTTGATGTTTGCCGCGGGATGACAGCCAGATTGGAGTCGTTGCTTTTTCTTTACTGTGACCACGTGCGGTGTGTATGGGAGGCCTTTCAGAAAAGAGCAAGTCGACATTGTTGCGAAACGCATGCATGATGCCATACTTTTCACTGACGTGGAATGAGTTGGGAGGTTTGCATATAAGCTCCTCTGCATTCTTGCCGTGGTGCTCCTCATGCACATCCCGGGCGTCACGGATGATGCATGGGGCAAGCAGAACCTTGTGCATGGCGGAAGGAGGAGACGAAGAGCTGGTTGTTTGATTGTTAGCGACGAGTCCTGCCTCACTGCTTGGAGGGGGCTGTCGTTTGCTGGGGCAACCTGTTTTGTGTGTCCAGACGCTGCTTGCGCCGAGTGGCGGGGCGCCGTGTTGGTGTGTGCGGCTCCGTCATGCGGGGCGGCTGCGTGACGTTTACGAACTGTGTGCCTGTGAGCTGATGAAAGTGGCGGGAGGCGTGTCTGAGGGGAATCCGCGAAAGGAGGAGTGACATGTGTTTGGCGGTGCTGCTGTTTGAGGTGCGAGGGAGGAAGAAACACAAGTGCTTTCTGACATTTCGGTGAGTGTGCCACGGCCACCGATGAGTTCTCAGGGAGAGGGACAGGAGGGAGGGAGACGGAGACTGTACGCGTCCACTGCGATGTGTGGTGCCACAGGATGCGATTGCCATTGTGAAGGGTGCAACGGTCGTCATGCGTGCAGCAGAGCATCGTCTGCATCTTTTTGCCTGCAGAGCTTGCAGGTGCCGCGAGGAGGTGCAGGCGGCCTCTCATCATTGGGCTGCTGAGGCCGTTTCCCTCTCTGCTCGGCGGGGGAAGCAACTCTTCCTGCAAGTGGTGTGCTTTTCTGCATCGATACACCCAACGGGGCATCACGCAGCCGTGTCGTTGCAGTGCAACTCTCGCGCCCCTCACTGCACACGTGGCTCCCTGTCGTTTGTCTTGTTTGCAGGGCCATGGCCTGCGGTCTCCATTGGGAGGCTGCCCGTTTTTTCCCCTAATTTTTGTATGCTGTTGAGGGGTGCTGTGGAGTAATGGCTGCGGGGATGGTGATGTTGTGGTTCGCTGTGAGTGGTGGCGGTGTGTACTGCTGTTGTGTTGCCTTTCTGGTGTATTGCCGCTGTTTTTCCTCTTCTCTCCACTTCTTGAACACATACACACGCTAGGAAATTGGGCGCTAATCGCTACTGTGAAATTCGAAGACTCTGAAAGGACCAACAGCACACACACACACACACACACACACACATATTTATATGCTCTCACGTGTTGCTGCTGTCAAGGCACCCCGCACACACAACCGTCGCCGCGTGACCGGATCCAGCGGAAGGAGGAGGGAAGGAAGAGAGTGTGAGCCGCCGAGGCCCAACATGTCCCGGCATCACTTCTATTCTGCGGTGCTGCTCCTCCTCGTCGTGATGATGTGCCGCGGCAGTGGAGCTGCGCACGCTTTGGAGAGAAACTCAGGGGATTTGCAAATGCCGCAGGAGATCGCCATGTTTGTGCCGAAGAAGACGCAGGTGGTGTCAAGAAGTGGTGGTGAATGCAAAGTGAAGGATATCTTTGCTTCACCCGCTCTCGTCCGTGCTAGTGGAGTAATGATTGCATTTGTTGAAGGCCGCACCAAACATACAGATTTTCCAGAAGCGATTGATCTCAGTTCTTCTGATATTGTTGCCGGTTACATCAAGGCTCCAGAGACGTGGCAGTCTCTTGTTGCTGAGGTAACTAAAGATGACTGGAAGGCACACACTGTCCTTGAGAGTGCGAATAATAGTAAGTATCGTGTGGGTGTTGCGAAGCTACCCACCGGAATTACAAGGGGCAATAAAGTGTTTCTGCTAGTGGGGAGCTATGAAGAGAGGCGTCAAAATGATGATGATACTTGGAAGACCGAGGCATGGAACATTAAAGTGATTGAGGGTGAGGCCACGCAGTCCACGGAAGTTCAGCCGAGTCAACCGATCAACTGGAGTGAACCCAAACCGCTGTTCCAAACTGATTCTCCTAATAATAAAGGTGACCTAAAGGAATTTTTGGGTGGTGGTGGCTCAGGAATTGTGATGGGGAATGGCACACTTGTGTTTCCCCTGACGGCAAAGGATGAAAGTAATAAAGTTGTCTCCCTAATCACTTATTCGACGGACGACGGCCAAAAGTGGGAGATACCAGAGGGCGTTTCTTCTGTGGCATGCCGTTCCCCCCGCATCACCGAATGGGAGGAGGGAACACTTCTCATGGTTACTTATTGCGAGGATGGCCGCAAGGTGTTTGAGTCGCGTGACATGGGGAAAACGTGGACGGAGGCTTTTGGGACACTCTTGGGCGTGTGGCTCAAATCAGGTCCAGAACTTCCGGAAGTAAGTTTGCGTGTGGGAGCCCTCATCACTGCGACCATTGAGGGAAGGAAGGTCATGCTGTACACTCAGAAAGTGAGGCATTCTCTGGAAGTGGATGAACCCAACGCACTCCACCTTTGGGTCACGGACAACAGCCGCACTTTTCATATTGGACCGTTTTCTGTGGACAGTGCTGAGAATATGACGTTTGCCAACACCTTGTTGTACTCGGATGATGGGCTTTATCTTTCACAAGCGAAGGGCGATCATGAAAGCACAGCCGTTTCACTTGCCCACCTGACGGAGGAGCTGAAGACGATCAAGTCCACCCTCAGTACTTGGGTACAGTTGGACGCCTCCTTCTCCAATTCGTCCACACCCACGGCTGGTCTGGTTGGATTCCTGTCCAATACGACGTCCAGTGGAGACACGTGGATCGACGGGTACCGTTGCATGAATGCAAGCGTGACGAAAGCAGCGAGGGTCAAAAATGGGTTCAAATTCACGGGGCCTGGGTCCAGGGCAACATGGCCCGTAAACAGTCGGTGGGATATAAAACAGTACGGCT